AGAATAACTCATAGTCCCAGGATTTCCCATCCCAACATTATCTTTAATCTCTCTCTACTCTGATGTCCCTCATACCTCGGCTCTATTCCCACATCCTGCACTTCCCTGCCTGAACCCCCCACCCACCCACCCACCCACACACACACTTCTCTCCCTGCAGGGTTCCAGGCCTGCACTATCAACAAAAGCATTCTGAGGAGGGATTGACATTTTTCATTGTAACAATGTAAAGATTCCACTAGTAGAAATAAACTGATCCCATGCAGCTCTAGTCCTCTGTAAGCCAGGGGCACCATGAGATCTAGGGTCATGTCTGATTTGAATCCTGCCATCATATTTCCAGAGATCTGGGTTACCTGACCATCGGTCTCCTCACATTTAAAACAGAACTGTTGTCTATGCTGTTTAATGAGGCAGTGAGGTGTAGTTTCTAGAATACTGTTTAGGATTCGTGACTGATAAAATGCATGTTTGAAACTGTGGTTGCCTTGGGCCTGGATGGAATCAGCTTTAGGTTACGGGGACCACACCGAATCAATATCTAACCTCATCAGTTTTTATCAGTAAACATCAGTTTACGTTGAGCACTTCCCCAGTGCCTGACTCAGCTCAGTGGCTTTATGACTTGTTTGAGCTTCAGTTTTTCTATTAACAAAATGGGTTAATAACACTCTACAGTGCTCTTGCAAGAATTCGATAAAACTTCTACCTCCTGGCCTCTCCAAAGTGCCATGGAAAGCATCCAGGCCCCTATCTAGGATCTATGCTCTGTAAATACCACTCGATCCCGACTGTCAAGGCCCTGCCAGCAGAGGACAGGCTTCTGACCACCTTGACACTCCGAGGACCCACTGCATGGCCAGCTTGCATTCTCGCTGACTCCGTGCTTGGTAACAGGCTGTGTTTTTGTGCCTTCCTTTTTACAAGCCAGGCATTTGTGAGAGGCTGAATCCTATCAGGTGCGGCAGCCAGAGGTGGGAAAAGCAGAGTAAGGTGTTCCTGGGTGTACCCTGTTTTTGTGAGTTCAGCATTTCTCTACACTGTGAGGGCAAGAGAGTTTCAAGTGGAGTTGTCTTGTCAGGAGACTGCCCAGGTGGACATGCCCGGTGGACAACCCCCCCCCCCCCCACACACACACTGAGCCTTTAACCCATGCCTTGCCAGCCTGCAGAATCCCTTCAAGTTTGCCTGGGACAGTGCGGGCGCTGTCTCACTTACAGGCAGAAGTGGTGCTTGAGTGTGTTGGGTTAGAAGGACCTTGGTAATGAAGTTCAGAAGGGGAAAGAAGGTCCCCGAGGCTCCACATGGAAAGGATGCAGCTACCAGTAGGATCCGTGGCCCAGGCAGGCCATGTATCAGGCTCAATTCTGACACCCTTAGCCAAGGAACTTATCTCTCTATACTTAACTCCCATGCAGCTTGCCAGCCTCTCCACCACAGTGAGTTTTGGGTTCAAATCATAGGTACTCACAATGTGCTCACAGGTAGCGGCTTTCGGTGCTTTGAGGTCCAAAGTCTAACTAACTAAACAGCTGCCGGTGGGACTGATACAAATTCACACTTATTATCACACAGTAGATAAGCTGTGATCTTCTTGTCTGTTTCTGGGCTCTGAGCTGTGGGACCCCAAGATTTCCCTGCAGCCTACTAGGAATACTATTATAAAATTCATTTTTATATTTTTTTAAAAGAATATTTATCTTTATTTTATACCTGTGGATGTTTTGCCAGAATGGATGTCTGTGCACCCTGTGTGTGCAGTATTCACAGAGGTCAGAAGAGGGCATGAGATCCTCTGGAACTGCAGTTATGGATGGTTGTTAATAGCCATGTGGGTGCTGGGAACTGAACTCAGGTTCTCTGCAAAAGCAGCCAGTACTCTTAACCACTGAGCCATTTCTCCAGCCCTTCATGTTTGTGGGGCTTCTTTTGGGGGGGGCGGTTCGAGACAGGGTTTCTCATGTAGCTTTGGAGCCTGTCTTGGAACTCACTCTGTAGCCCAGGCTGGCCTCGAACTCACAGAGATCCGCCTGGCTCTGTCTCCTAAGTGCTGGGATTAAAGGCATGCGCCACCACCGCCCGGCTCATGTTTGTGTTTTAAAGCAAGTATTCAATGGGAAGAATGAGAGAGTCGGGATGGCATGGACATAGACGCTGTTACAGCAGGAGCACACAGACTCTTTGGAGGAGGACACTGGAGCTGGGTTCGGGCTTTTCACACAGGAAGTGCCCATCTGGGTCTGTGGTGGGCAGTAAGCCAACCAACACCATTTTCATACCTCAGTTTCCTCATTTGTAAAATGGAATTAAAACTCCTTAGGGATAGGTATATGTATTTTTCCAAATTTATCTTTCAAGTTTTCAGATAGGACATTTGAGAGAATACTGGGGTGCGATGGAGACTAGGGAGTTGGCTCAGTGGTTAAAGTGTGAAGAGTGGGGTTTGGATTCTCCAAGCCCACAGAAAAGCTCACAACTGTGGAGGTCACCTTAATCACAGAATTTAGGAGGCAGAGAATGGAAATCATCAGGGCAAGTGGCTAGCTAAACTACCTGGAAATAATAGACTCAAGTTCAGTGGATCCTTAGTAAGCAAAGGAGAGGACAGTTGAGGAAGACAGCCATCATTGTCTTTGGGCTTTCACAAGCATGTGCACACAAACACACATGCCCGTGCACACAAACACACATGCACATGCACACATACATGTAAATGTATACACGTGTACGTCTATACGTGCATGTAAAAGAAAACTAGTAACAAAAGCATACTGTAGCAACCATCCATCTACTAACACACAGATTCTACACTTTAAAAGTATTTGTTTTATGTGCGTGTATGTGTGGGGGGGGACAGGGGGTGCTTACACATAGGCCAAAAAAAGCTTCAGATCCCTTAGAGCTGGAGATATAAGCATTTGTGAGGTACTTAATGTGGGTGATGGGAACTGAGCTGTGGTCCAATGATACAGCAGTAAGTGCTCTAAACAGCTGAGCCACCTCTCCAGCCCTGATAGATTCTAGACTTTTCCTGTGCTCAACTATTATGGTGCTCATTCACTCACTTATGCCACCACCAATGTGTGTCTCCCTCCAGCTGCCTTTAAAGAGAGATATTTGAAGATGTAGAGAATGTATGTTAAGGGCTGGTGCAGGGATTGTCTTGAGTTTTACTGCAGTTAACAAAGACCATGGTAGTCGTTCAAGTGCTCGTGTCCTGTGGACATGAACGGAGCTCACTTCTTTCCCATTGTGTGGTGTTCATGTCCGTCATGATGCTCAGAGACATTGAAGGAGGTTAGGCAGAAAGGTGACTGCTGCTTGGATTTCCAGCTGGATGGTAGAAATATTTCCTCATCTTTTAAGTCCCTTCAGTGAAGAGAAGGCAAGACACTTTGATCTGCATGTTTCCTTCTTTCAACTTGGAATAAACAGAACAGTAGCTACCCATGAACTTGTGTCTGCTGTCTAGCCCGGGGAAGTACCAATAGCATCACAAGGGCGCATCAAAGGAATATTATTATGCCCTTCACAAAAGAAGAGAAAGCCTAGTGGCTTGTCGCACAAGTGCAAGAAACTGTACTCTTTCTGACTTTCGTTTCATGCAGCCACACACTCTGTGCTAACACCAGATCTTCCCTCCTCCTCTGGCCCCTCCCAGGACAGAAGAGTTCTGTAGACTCCCCCGCTCAGGGGAGGTTAGAAAGGGCCTCTCCGTGTGCAGGGGGATTGCTCCGAGGACTGTTTCCTGGAAAAGCACAGGCAGCAAAGGCTGTGTCTGTACTCGTTCTGTGAGACAGCAGGGAGAGTTGATTCTGCGTGTGTGTGATACCCATGCTGGCTCTGCGCTCCAAAGACCTAACATTACAGCGTTCGTTCTTCAAGGGCTCCAGAGTTCCCTGTGCCCTCAAATTAGGTTTGAAAACTTCAATAAAAGAAGTCCCGAAGGAAACTGTCAATTAATGCATTTACACCGTAGCATTATACTTGGACAAAACATCTTCAAACACTAATGCTGTTTGCCAACCGTTAAAGAAGTGAGCAAGCTGCCTGGTTTCCATAGATACCTGAAGTAATGGCCTCTCTCCTCTCGTTAAAAGCAAGTTGTTCAGTTTCTTTCTTTTCTTTTCTTTCTACTTTGCCTTTCTTAACTTTCCTACTCCATCCCCATTTATAAAAATAAAAGATAACTAAATTGAAACCTGGCATGTCATTTGTCTGAGGCAGATAGCTTGATTTATAAACTCAGGGGATTTCGTTTCTGCTCATCTCATTATTCCATGACTTTCTCCAAGAGTGTTGGTACTTCCAGGAACCAGATTAGAGAATTTTCAGTTGATCAAAGTATTTCCCCAGTCCATTCAAAATGTATATACACATACTCAGAAGGAACTCTTAATGTTCTGTTGAAGAGGAACCAAGTTTTGATAATGTGTGGAACAGAGGTTGACAGACTGTTGCCTGGAGGCTAAATCTGGCCCATTGATTGATTGTATAAATAAAGTTTTATTGGGAAACAACCATGTTCATTCCTGTGCATATTACTCATGACTCCTTTTGCAAAAATTTTTGCAACAGAAATTTCAGGGCCCACAGAGCCTAAATGATTTCTCTGTCACTTTTGATAGTGAGTTCATAGATTTTATGTATGCAAGGGAAAAAGAATCAGAGTTTTGGTGGAATTTCATCATTTTGTCCTTTTAGACAAATACCCAGTCTTAATGTGTGACTCTGAACAGGACCCTCTTATAGGGTATTAAGACTGTGCTTAGTATCTAAGAAGTAAGAAGAGGAATTATTTTCACTTGATTTTGCGGGGGATACAAATAAAGATAATCAAAGAAGTCTACCTACGGCTCTAGAAAAATGTATGAAAATGCATTCCAAAGAACTCAGCTATGGTTTGGGGGTCTGTTCCTAGCAGTTCCTTTCTGTGAGATGAGAAGCCCTGCTAGGACTCCATTCATGGTGGAGAAAACAAACACAAGACACCACACCAGTCTAGGAAGAAAGCTTTAATTTCTATTCAGCTTGAAAGAGTTTGAGAGAGTTCCCCTGCCCTTTTAACAAACCAGTTCAAGTACATGCCTTCAGATTATAAAAGTACCTGAAATCGTCTAGAATATCAACATGCATAGTGTGTTAGTATTTACATATATTTACATAAGGAAGCAAGAGAAAGATCTACAGTTATTTACAGTCTACGTAGGAGAAGAGAAAGGCAGCCTAATTGTATTTCCTAAAATACAGTAGCTGAGTAGTTAGCACATGCATATTTAGATAATATTTGCATGATAGAATGCAATTTTTAAAATTTTTTTGTTTGTTTTGTTTCTAGTGTATTTGCATGAAGTGCTTGAAAAGGCTCACTAACACCCAGGCAGAATTATTTACCCTGGCAATTAAAGCAACAGCACACGTGATCATTTCCCACTAACTAGCAACAAGCTGCTGGTGAATGAACTAGCTATTGTTTCTCATTAGCTCCTGGACCACTGAGAAGAGATCTCTCTGTGTAAAGGTGGTGCCTGAGTGATCGCCATTAATTATGGAAGTAATAACAAACGAGACGCCCGCCACAGTATGTTCTGAATGAAATATTAGCAAGGCTGACATCTTCAAGCCAGAGAAATGATCTGTTCCAAGGAGTTCTCAAAGAAAACACACAGCTGAATGACGATGTGCCCTATTTGACATGGTAGGGCTGGATATGGGGTTTGGGGCGGGGGGTGGGGGTGGGGGCTGCCTGCTGATGAGAGCTGAATTACAGTGAGATACACCTTCTTCATTCATGCTGGGACAACAGATTAAGAGTTCATTTCTTACCTTGATATGGTCATATCAGAGACTATGTGTCCCACCCCACCCAGTATTTTTATTTCTATTTGTAGGATTTACCAGTGACATAGGTATGTAGATACTGGAGGCCTTAAAACTCTAAACAGCTCATCTTGGGTGTGTCCTGAAATCCTGCCTGCTCTCCATAGTCAGGTTTCTTTATTTTACCTTGAAGAGATAAAAAGACAGGCAAACTGACAGAAGCTTTTCTATGCAGAAGAAAAGGGGGAAACTATGTGTTTCATTTATACTGGGAAGACATCTTTTTACCATATATTAGAATCAAACCCATTAATTCTGCCTGGCAATCATTTTAAAGGTTTGTTTCAGTATACATGGTGAATACAGAGGCATACATGTATATACAGTTTATATATATATGGCTATAACCAAGGTTAAAGAAATAAAATATAAGATGTTTCAAATTAACACCAGCTAAATATCTTCTTTTATCTTATGAACACTCAGTGGTCCTTCAGTTCTGGCATTGAGGTGGACCAGTTGGAAAATTACAGTGGTAGGCCCAATTATGCTATAAGTAAGATGCTTATTTCAGTGGCAGATTTCTATGGCTCTTCTGTTGGACCATATCAAAGTAACTCATGAAAGAATGGATCCACCAAATTTCCATCCCACAAGACAAATCTCCATCTGCAAAAGAACTACAGGTTGAACTGAGTTGAGTAAAGTACGTAGTCCGGGCAACTCAACAGGAATGCCCTGGGATGTCTTTCATGAATACGTAGGACCTAATCCACAGGACCTTCCCTTCCATCTAATGAGAAGTGCTCAAGACAAATGTGGCCAGGCACACCTGGAATGTGGAGTAAATGTGCTTCAAGACAATCAAACCGATTACACTGGAGCCATGCCTTTTCCCTCTTCTCACTAGGACTACCTACCCTCCACCTCCCTTCCCACCAAAAAGTATCTAGGGTCTCACAAGGTATACTAACAGATCTCAAAAGGTGAAATGACCCTAAATATCATATTGCTAGTCCTTTAAGATCATGCATAATTCTGTCAGGGAACCCATGAGCTGTCTATTGCAAAAATCCCCAGGCATGAGGAAAATAGAAAAAGAACTTTATTTACTTTAAGAGGAATTCTAGAACAATCCTTGATGTGCACACAGAGCCCCAACAGCTTACAGAGATTGTTCTGCTCTCTAACTCTCCTGACTTGCTAAATTAAAATCCTTGCCTGGCCTTTCCTTCTCAACCAAACATGCCTTTGGACATCTTGGAATGGTTGGGATTGGCTGTCTTCTTTCTTAGACGTAAGGTTTTAGGAATGGCAGCTATATTCTTCTGTTTTAAAAGAATTCCATCCAGCTTTCCATCTAGAAGCCAGGGTTTCTGAGGCTTCCTATTGCAGAGTTAAAAAAGCAATACTGCTGGAGTCTTTCGCATTTACTCCACCTTGGTCTTCCAACCAGCACCTCAAAGCTCCTCAGGGACCTTCCCAGAAAATAGTGTCTTTTCTCAGAGACTTCCATTTAGTGGTGTCTTACTTAGGGTTCCTTCAATGCAACAGGAAATGTCTCGGGTCATCTCAGAGACCCTCTCTGAGAGTATGCCCCCATTTGATAGCTCAATGTCATTCTTTCTCCTCCTTCATGTCACTCAAGAGGAGCTTTGGAATTTGGGTGTTATCCATGCTTGGCCTAATGGTGTTTAGTGTGATGGGTTAGCATATTTCGCTATCTGCCTATCCCTCAGACACTGAGATCCAGACTGTACTCTGCAGATATGTCCCCATACCTGAGAACACACTCTTTACCTTTGTGGGCGAATCACCAGAAAAAGAACCTGAGCTCTTCAACAGCTGTGGGCCTTTATTTAGCAAAGGGATTTGTGGTAACAAGTAAGTCCTGGAGTACACTGTCAAAGCCACTGTGACAGTTGAGCACATTCCCGTCTGCAGGATGAAGGGGTTGTGTGTGCTCTACATGGCTTTTCTGGAACATTTTTTTCTCACACTGGTAGAGCCTATAAACAAATATCCAGTCTCCAGAGCTGCTGCTTCTTTTCCCCTGCAATGCAGGCTTTTTGTAACGAAGGCTTAAGAACAACCTGTGTGTTAGCAGAACTCCCAAGGGCTATGAAGAAGTTTACATCTCAGTGTCTAAACAAAATATTTGCATGTATCCAAGCCTGTACTGTTCAAGGCCTTTGTAGGAATCAATTGTTGGGAATTTGTAGGAGTTAATATGCTAGGGATTTATTGGGGGTTGCAAAGAAGGAGGTGGGTTGTTTTGCTTTGCAAGTCTAATGGAGCGTGCCAGCGCCTGCGCCTAGGGAGGCCACACTTGTATGGGAGTTTACAAAACAGGGGTAGCTCTGGAAATGAATGGAAGTGCTGGACCTTTCTGGCTGAGTACGTGCAAGCTTCTGTATGAGAATGTTGTTGGGAGATGGCAGGATAGAGAGGACACACAGACAGCCATTTATTCCACTGGTTTTGATGGTCGTGCTTTGAAAACATCTATCATCAAAAGGTATGTACCTTAGCTTGGCAGATTTGGTACCTGCAGGTGGCATTTTGAGTCAGGTAACTTTTTTTTTTTAAATGAAAGGTCATTTGCTATTGAATCGATGGATAGGGTGCTGAGTCTTCATTTTTTTTTTTGTTAATCCAAATGGATATAATTTCAATTTAGTTCACTGACTAAATCAACAGTGGAAAAATCTCCTTTGAACATTTCTCAGGTGAACATATGACAGCTTGTATATTTAATTGAGGCCAAATCATTCTGTAAGTAGGCATGACCTGGGAAAGAAGACAAAATAGCACAAGGAAGCTTGAGTCAAATGGGAGCCACCTGGAAGGAAATGGGCAACGTGACCATATTCATGTCCCGTGTTTGGGAGGGAGGTTTCCTACACTAACTCATGGATTCTGAATCAGTCAATCTGTGACTGTCCCTGTGACTGTGGACAAGTGACATTTGATCTCTGAATATAAGTGGGTCTATAAAAATGGAGATGCTAGTTGTCCCTGGCTCATGAACAACCTGTGGATTAGAAGGTGATGCTCATGAAGCTACCTGCAGGCACCCGACAAATGCTAGTCATCAATAAATGCTGGTCATCGTAGCCACTGGGACAGTCACTATTGGCTGGAACTCACTGGAGAGCAGAGCTGGTGGTTCTCTTCTACTGCCTCCTCTCACTGTGGTAGAACTGGCATGCTTATTGATAAGCACTGACCCAGCATTGTGTAATTCACTTGTATTGGTAGCAGTGGAGGTGTTCTCTCATTGGGGTCAGAAAGGTTCATGAGCCTCGTTCCTGCACTAACCGCTTTGCTTTCTGAACAGATGGAATAGTGTGGACTTTGAGGTCAATTTCTCCACTGACAATATTGTTCTTGGATGGTATGTAGGGACATAGCATCCCTTGGAACAGCTTGTTTTTGCCTCGTGAACCAGAGATTTAAATTTGAATTGTTTGTGGGAACAGCTATGTCCCAAGCACCAAGACATTTGGAGATGAACTCCAGAATGCAATGTTGCCTATTTCTGATAGAAGTCTTATCAACTCACTTGCAGGAGTGTTACTATTACTAGGAGAGGGGAAGGTCTGTACCACAGCTTTGTGACTGATCTTTCCACTCAGAGAGGTCTGTCCATAGGGCCACTGGTTTCACATTTGCAAAGTATATTCTTTGCTTATGAGACCCCAGATGAGTAGCAATGACAGCTTTGGGGGTCTGAAGATGCACCCGTCTTTCCTCTTTGCCTAACACTCTTGTGGTGGTGCATTACTTTCAATCTATCTCTGCAGTCCCTGCCCACCTCTCAAGAGCTGCCTTCCTTCCCTGCCCTTGAGGCTTCAGGCCTAATCTAGCTTGCATGCTCTGTTCCCGCTCCTGAATCTATTTTTTTTTTTTGCATAAATTGATTAATTCAGCATTTGCTGTGCACTGTCCTGGTGTGGATAGGTCTGTTATAAAGCAATCTTCCAACATCTACTGCTCTTTCAAGTCTTTGAATATAGATATGCCATGATAGTGTGTGTGTATTTTAAAATGCATTGTTACATCTACTTTAAGACAGGAATTTATTCTTCCTCTTAAATAAACATGCATATTAAAGTAGAGTCACGTGAAAGCTAAATTAATTGTGTAACATGTGTTCTTATCAGAATGTGAATTTTCCATCACAGTACTAAGTAATGCATCACAGATACCAGTATGGGGTCTGGTTTGGTTTTTTTAAACCATGTGTTGTTCATCAGAAACCTCTCTACCTCTTTCTTCAAAGGACTCAATATATATTTGTAACCTGTGCTGACAGCTACAAATTGATGGCCAGCGGTTACCAAATAAATGTTGATGGAAGTCAGCTATTTAACGTTTTCATCCCAACAAAGGGTTTTGGAAGGATGGCTCCTTTACATCTCAGGGTCTCAGCTACCAACAGCAGCCAGTTTGCATCCCAGCCTTCTGAGGTGGAAGATGGGATTGCAAGCCTGAAAAAATGATTTCCTAACGAAAATGATGAACTTGTATTAGCAAGATGTTCTCAGCTTAATCTACAAGCAAGAACCCTGGGCAGTTTTACATGCATAGTAACGGCTGGTAGCACAGTCGAACTCCGGCCACTCACAAATGTTTGACTAGAGCCCAGATGGCACAGGGGTATGATTAAAAATTCTACTGGGCTTCCCAGGAATTCTCAGTCCTGGGTCATTAACATGTTACCCAGTGATATCAGTATGGGTTGGAGATGCTACTTCCCCAGTTTCTTGTGATGAGTGACTTATGAGCAACCTGACCAATTGTTCTGAAGGAAACAAACAAACAAAAAACATCTGGAAAAACCCACAGCTCCAGCCAACACTCATATGTCAACAGGTTATTATTTTATCACCATGGATCAGCAAAGCAATGCTGACAAATGGCAAGTCATACCTTCAAATATTACACCAGTGTTGTTAACATTATTTCCTCTCTGTGTCTCTTTCATCTTCTCTGAATTATGTACTGATGCCCCCAAAAGTGGCATGAAAGTCATTTGATGGTGATTAAAGTGTTCAAAAAAGAAAAAAAAACCTCAAAACCAAACCTTTCTTATCAGTTTAAAAATGTTTCATCTTCTGTCAGTGGCACAAGCTTGTTTACTAATGAGATCTCACTAATGTGGTTCCGTCTCGGGCTGATGATACACAGACTGAAAAGCTGAGGAGCCCAAAATGGGGACTTGTTTTTTTAAACCGTCACCACATCTAATGGTATAAAGCTATCACTCAAAGGTCACCATTGGAACAGCCGAAAAGAAAATTCTCCAAAAAGCCCATGAGGTAATGGGCATGGGACCAACACGATATTGTCAGCACTTAGTTGTCTGTCCGGAAAAGAAGATAAAGCAAGAGCCTGTGGTAGCATTCACGGCTCAGGCAGGGAGGCTCTGCTGAAAGGACACTGTCAGTCTTTGGGGTAGCAAAGGTAGCCTTTGTACCCTGCTCTGTGTGCTTTTGTAAAGCTGGGGGCACCGGCAGTAGAATTGTTGTTGTAAACTACCCTAGGACCAATGGCAAGGAATTGAAGTGAGCATGTGTGGAAGACTGGGCTTTCAAAACTGTGTGTCATTCAACACAGTCACCAAATGGACACTTCTGTGAAACCAGCCAAACTGCGATCACTTGCAGATTCCAGTGATGGCAAATACACCTCCTCCTGCTCCCCCATTTGGCTTGATTCTGGATTGGGGTGACTTCAGAATTTCTTCCCAGAAGTACCATTTCACCCAGGCAAGCACACAGATCACATCACGTTAGAAGGACACAGAGGCAATATGCTACAAGGTTTGGAAGAGCTCTGATTATCAATTTCCCGAGTGGCCTCCCTTGGTCTTATCTCTGGATTGGCAAAGTGATGAGAGGCCAGTCTGTTGTGAGATTAGAACCCACTGTCTGATATGGAAATCATCTAGGGTTGGGGGAAGAGGAGGAGGAAGGAAGGATTTGGAGGTAAGCTGACTGGATTCTCTCAGCCACCACTTAGAAGTCTATGGCAAGTCACCTGGTCATTCTTGGCTGCATTTGTCACCTATAAAATAAAATGAAAATCCAAGAGAGATGGCCCAAATTTTATTCCAAGCTCCGTCTCCACCTGGACTCTGCAGAGAGCAGAGGACAAGACGCTGTTTGGCTTAAGTTAGCCCAGTGGTCCTCCTTGGGTTCTACGTAGGATTAGAGGCACTTTAGCTGCCCTTGTCCTCCTTACAGGATGCTGAAGAATCCCATAACCCCCTGGCAGGTATTTAAATAGACATGCCTGGTGCTCAGCTAAAGGTGATGAGCAATAACAATTCAGTAAAAGGAGATCAGTTGAGAAATAAATCACTGAAACCAAAGTATTCACTGTTTGTTTGTGTGTGTGTGTGGGGGGGCTTGTTGAGGGACTTAAGGAAGTCACTAACCATTTGCTATTCAGTTAAGCTCCAATCACAAGTCAGATGTTCAAATCCTGGACTGGTGGACCTGGCCAGTGGGCTCAAGCAGTTTGTATTATCAAACATCAAGTCTGTGTCACACCTCTCCATACCTCTCCCACAGTCAGGCCACTTGGCTGCATTTGACCAATGCATATGTGACCACAGAGCCTGACACAGAAATCGGCACCCAATAAAGCCCCAAGAGGCTTTGTGGCACTTGGCTAACACTATAATCCCTTGGGATCCTGGTTCTCAGAGTGACTCTAGCTCTAATGATTCTATTCATTTATGGGGACGTTCTTCCACGGACACTCTGATCTAACAGTTTAAACCCTGTTGGGGCAGAAAAAAAAAATGGTTAAGTTTGGGTAGAGACAGAAAGCCATCTCACCTTCCAAGCAAACATCCCTAACATTTTCCTGAAAGTGACATCTGTGGCTAGCTTCCGGTCCTTGTTTGTAACCCCCACTCCCCATCAGCTGGTAGCGAGTTGACGCATCAAGAGCTGTCCTCCGCATAAATGATCACAGGACGGCAGATAAACGGTACTGGTTTTAAATTAGAGCCCTGCTCACCATGCCTCCCTTCGCACAGAAACCTATTATTTTTAATTATGGCTTGCAAAGCAAAGTGAGCTCTTGCCCTCTTTATAGCATCTCTGGCAATATTCTGTCAGTTGAGATGACATGGTGCCCCATCAGTGAGCACGCCCCTAGCTACAGCCCCAACTGTTACTCCAGAGGAGACCAGAAATGATCAGTGGTGTTCATAGAGACTTGCATTTTGAAATGGGCTGTAAGGAAACATGCCTCCCACCTTAGGCCATTTCTTGTTGTAAATCAGAACAGATATGACATTTAGAAAAGTGTTTTCAGGGTGAATAAACACATCAGTGTAGGGATTTGTGAGACTGTGTGTGTGTGTGTGTGTGTGTGTGTGTGTGTGTGTGTGTGTGTGTGTGTGTGTGTGTTAAACATCTCAACAGTGTTGTAAATCCATCCTACTCCCAAGAGCACCCTGGGCAAAGAGTACAGGAATGATCTGGCACCAGCCTCATTTGAATCATCTATTTGATGGGCCATAATCAAGAGTGGTTGGTTTCTTTTGGACAGAAGGGTCTAGAAAGTTCTTGGTGTCGAATTATATTGCACATTAAGAAGTCAGAGGTTTGAATGGGTCTGTTCTTGCATGTTGGAAAGGACAGTATCTTTTTCTTTGTGCTGAAATGGCATCTGGCATGTTATATTGAAATGTGTCTTTATTTCCCAAGCTTTTTCCTCTATGAGGTGTGAAAAGTCACACCAGCTTTACAAGCAGAGTTTATGGACTTGTTTTTCCAAGGCTATCACACATCATACTTTGCAGTCCTGTGCTTAGAGTTGAGTCCTTTGCCGCGCTGATGTCCAAGTGGAGAAAGGTTCACTGATCTCCTGATAGCCAGAGTGGCATTGTCTTACCATTCAGTTTTTAAAAACAAGTGCTTTTCTTTCTTCTGTTTTTCAGCAACAGGGAGCTGCTAGCACTGTCTACTGTGCAGTCGCCCCTGAGCTGGAAGGCCTCGGAGGGATGTATTTCAACAACTGCTGCCGTTGCCTGCCATCGGAAGAGGCTCAGCGTGAAGACACAGCCCGGGCCCTGTGGGAACTCAGCGAGCGGCTCATCCAGGATCGACTGCACAGTCCATCCAGCTAATTAGAGCCCCATAATTGTGGGCAAACCCCCACCCATGCTCTGACCCTCATCACTGCCAGCCCCATCATCCTGGGGTGCCCCTAAACCCCCAGTGCGGAGCCATGAGAGTAAAAGAAATAAGAACAGCTGTAATCAATGGGGAAAGGCCAGGTGTCAGTGGGAAGCAGGGACACTTTCAAGGGACAACATTCCTTTTCTAGGACAGGGTTAGTCATGGGTCTGCTTGCTTTTCTGGTGGTGGCCCTGCTTGAAACTGAAAGCATGGTTAACATGTTTGCTCACTGTAGAAGCACAGGGGAGTCTCTATTACCTTTGGAATAGCTTCATGTCCCCTTGACCCACCCAAGTACCACCGTGGCCACCATTGCCACCACTGCCACCCGAGGCTGGCTTTTTCCTATTGAGGGAAGAAAAAGCACATGTTCACCTCTCCATGCTGTGTTCAGTCCTGGAGGCCAATGTTTCCAACTTCCCTACCAAGTCTGACCAGGCTTGGCAACTTTGAGAGAAACTCAGAACCTTGTCCCAACAGAACCAATGTGATGGTGCCGTCAGAGGAGAGCAGAGCCAGTGTGCAGAAGCTGGTGGGTCCCAAGAGTACCACTCACTGTCTTCCCTGCCAAAGCTATGCAGGCAATTCTTTAGAGAGCATAACAAATGTTGCCAATCATTCCCTAGATACACAGACGGGCAAGGAAGGAAGCAAGGTGTCCTTAAGATGCATGAGACATTCTTGAGGTGGGAAATAGGAGGTAGTTCCCATCATTCTTCACTCACAGTTCGGAGAACAACCCCCTTAGGGAGTGTCATGGCCTCTCAGTCCTTCCGAATTAGTGTCTAGCTTCAACTTCCCCTGGTTCCTCCCATCCTATGCTTAATAAAAGAACATGCTGGACTATGATTGCCTGAAGTGTGTATCGTTTGTTTGGATGTTCATCTCAGTTAGTGTTGTTCTGTTTTGTTTTTGTTTGTTTTCATTTTTTTTTTTTTAGAAAAGCAATCTAGAGGAAAAATAAAGCGCTTCTCGTAGACGCTGGGAAAACACCATTCTTGATTCTTCTCTGAGTTTGGGTTTAGTTTTGTGCTTTGTGGGCCGAGTTGTCTCATGGGATAAGCATACCAGCATCGTATTTTCTGTGAGAGAAAGAAAGAGAAGAAAAGTGACTGATGGGTAGTTTTACCTTCAATACATTAATTCCTGTTACTTACAGATGGTTATCTCTGTCTTCAAGGCATGGTTCCTGGGATACTGAGTTACTCGAGAGAACTCTCTCTCTTCACTTACACCATGGTCTCCTGGCAAGGAGACATGGAGATGACTTTTAAGCTAGTTAATATGCTCCTATATCCTATGAACTAAGCCTTTTATGCTTCATTAACCCATATGAGACTCCTGAATGGTACATTCTGAAACTCAAATTTTGAGGTCACCCGGATGTAGAAGAGGCCTCTGTGACATGCAGGAGGTGAGGATGGAGAGGTACCTCTGTCACTCTCCCTCCTCCTGGGATGGCAGCTTCAAGCTAGCCAATGACACAGATCTCTGGGCCTCTGCCTCTGCATGAGTCAAGTCAAATACCATTGCTTTTCAGCTACTCACAGCCTGGCTGCAGCCTCCCATGCCAGCTAAGGCAACCCAGAGGGAAAGAAACTCCACACTTAAATCATATAACTACAAAGAAAAATGTGAGTCTGTGATTTTAAGCCATCAAATCTCAGGGTTATTTGTTATACGGCAAAAGCTAGCCGATAGCTCTCATTTCATTGAGTAGTCAACATTTCCCCCCATAGTCTGTTTCTTATTTTTTAATTTGAACTCCAGCTACCTTGTGCATCCCGTGCTCTAGCATTTTCTCCCTTTCCTGTAGAACACCCTCTAGACTTGTGTCCCTCAGGCATGCCAAACACACTCTCAGTTCAAGTGCATTCCATCTGCTCCTCCCTGTATGGAGATGCTTTTCTCACATAAAGGTTTGTCGCTCACTGACTTCTGTTCTCCGCTCAAATGTCACCTGTTTCAGACAAGGTAGCATGTCTGTCGTATCATTCATGGTATCACCCAGTGACCTTCCCTTGTCCTTAATATTCCTCCTTTTAAGTACTAAATAGCACTGGAAACATTCTGAGTCACCATTTTTCTTCCCTAGTACAAACTCCGTGAAGCTTGTGATATCTGTTGAGTCAGTTCAGGGTCTGCACCTTAACTTTTTCTTTCCTATTTTTTGGTTGTTTGCTCAAGGGATAAAACCAAGGCTCAGAGAGCAGCTTCTCCATAGCCCATGCCTAATGAGAGGGTCAGAGTCAGAGTCAGGCCTGGAAGGCAGCTCAGTGCGCTGCAAGCCTGTGTGTCTTCCACAACATAGCCCTCTTCATGGGCTTACTAGAGACCAGCAGTGTATGCACACTGAATTTATGCAATGAGTGAGTTACTCACAAAGGAAAATTACCTTTCTACCTAATGCTGGATTGCGGCTGTCCTGCTGAAGCCAATGCTTGGTATAAGCTTTACAAACAGCTTTCATACCTGCCACTGACCCAGCAATTCGGGCTTCTGGTCTACCCAAATAACCTCCCTCCCCCAACTCTTTTCCAGGAACGAATAAGTCCATACCCAGCCTGGGCTTAGCTGTAAGTGGATTTGATGTCCAACATTCTAATGAAACTGTAGAATACACCCAACTTGAGAAGAATGAGCCCACTTGTCTGTGGTCATTTTCTGCCAAGTTCCTCTCTGTCCCTGTTTCTTTAAGTCCAAAGGTATCCGGTTTCCACTTCTATGCCTGAATAAAACCTTGTGCCACTTATCAATAGGAAAGAAACTAAAGCAATGCTGCCCTGTGGCTTGTGGCTTTGCTCTTTTAGAATGAGGAGATGGGCAGTTTTGTTTTGAACCTCAATGAAAGAGGAGGCCTGATTGCTTTCATCAAGGTCAACACTAGGCCAGAAAGCCTCAAATTGCAAAGTTCTTGCCAGATCTCACCACCAATTCTCATCACTTTTCTAAGTTTATGTTGAACAAACAAACAAATCAACAAAAACCTAAAATAGCAATACCTATGTACCCCGTACAGTGACTCTGTGCCTCCTGACATACCCCAGTTAGTTGCTGAAATCACTTCAGAATACGAAGGTAATTAAATATGATCCTTATGATCTTTGAAGAATTTGATCTGAATTGCTGAATTCGTGAAATGAGACACCAACAGCAAAGGTAACTCTTTAGAAAAAGGAAGCCTAGTAATATTGTTAAATTTAAATATAGATTATGTCGTCTTTCCATATTACCTCTCAAGTCTTTGCTTTTGGCTCAAGCATTTGACTTTTGTACCCCTGCTCTAATTTCTTGCCCCACAAAAATCATCTTTTTTTCAAGTCTTTCCATGACTTTAATAGATGTCTAATAGATCATGCGGGCTATCATTATAGGCCCAGGTTTCTACCATGGGACATTCGGGTAACTTCTAGTTTGTACTGTTAGAACCAATATCTCAGCACCTCTAAATATATAGACCTTTCCTTTTAAGTTTTCATTTCCCAGCCAGGCCATGGTGGTGCATGCCTTTAATACCAGCACTCGGGAGGCAAAGGCAGGCGGATCTCTGTTAGTTGGAGGCCGGCCAGGTCTATAGAGTGCGTTCCAGGACAACCAAGGGTACACAGAGAAATCCTGTCTCAAAAACCAAAAGCCTAGCATCGATTTGCAGGAAGCCCAGCAACTCTTACAGGTCTGGCATGTTTCAGTGATGGCGTGCTGACCAGAAGCGTGTGTGTGTGTGTGTGTGTGTGTGTGTGTGTGTGTGTGTGTGTGTGTTTACAGCCCTGTCAATGCTAAGTGTGCTATTTACTGTTTCAAACTTATTTCAACATCATCTTGTCACAAGCTATGTCTACTTATGCATAATATTCCCTAGCAGCCAGCCTAAGCATCTGTCCTTCATTTTCCCACAGGGTAGAGTTCACAGTTTTAATTAGCATGGAAATTGAGAGTGAGTGCAGAGAAAGGGGGCTTGGGTGGGAAAAGAGCAGTCTGGTCGGGGTGTCTCATCTTTACCGGGATTCAGTCAAAGAGCATCCTGTTTCTCTTCCTTTCCAGTCCCCAGTGCAGCAAGGCAGTGACCTCATCTGAATCTGATACCCAGACCAAAATGAGTACCCCATATATCTTTGGTTCTCATTGGCTCCTGTGCTCACAACACTAGTTGGGAGTTCCCAGAGGGCCACATCTTGGTAGCTGACATACTGTCTGCATTTATTAAATGTTATTTATGCCACACCAATCAGAGAGGTTGTCTGTTTTCTCACTATTGTGTTTACAGGGTCGTCTCCCGCTGCATCTTAGAATAAGCGAGCAAAGCTGCTTTGAATGGATGAGATAGGAATATGCAAATAGTGACTCTCCATCACTCACTCACAGGAGAGAGGCCCCCGCCACTAACCCCAAGGAGTTACCTCACTTTATCTGAGATTCGCTGAGAACTTGTCCTAAGACGTTGCAGTTGTGGCCATGTCTCATTGGATGCTGGGCATCCTGGTGGAGAAAATCAGCTTTTACTGAGTTCCATTTCCTAAGTGTTTATGAGAGCATTCTGCCTTTGACTTACTAGAAAAGTTGTTTTGTGTAGTTAGTTACATCTCCCACTACCCGTAGTCAATGTGATTCTTCCTTTGCATCAGTGAGGAAGCCACCAGACCCTGAGGTCATGACTCCTTGTGTGACCTTGTTCTCTGAGCCCATCTGTCTCTGACCCAGTCCCCCATAGTCACAGCATTTGCGCATTCTCTTGTCCCTCCACCAGTACCTCTCTCTTGCTTTATTTTCTATATCTAGACATCTATAAAACTTCTAAAAAGATTTCATTAAGGCTCTACTGGAGGAGACTAGGGAGATGGTTCAGCAGGTAAGAGTGCTGCTGAACAAGCATGAGGACCTGAGTTCAAATCCCAAGCATGTAGGAAAAACAACTACAAGCAGCTGTGAATGCCTATGATCACAAGTGCTGTTGGCAGCCGAGATATAGGAATGCTAGGGCTTGCTCTCCATTAGCTCAGGTCCAAGTTCAGTGACATACTCTGTCTCAAGGAAATAAGACAAAGTGATCAATCAGAACACCCAACATTCTCTCCTGGCCAACCTGTGCACTCATGGCTGTACATGTGTGCACATACACTACATATCTACAGCACTCACAGTTCATACACACAGGTTATAAAAAAGAATTTGTCTACATGTGTAGACAAATTTTCTCCTTTGAATGTGATTTATACAATTGCTTCATTTAAGAAGTACTATCGAAAAAGCATTGATCTTAGAAGTGATCTCTGAATCATTTGTCTTTTAAGCTACATACATTGCTGCTTTGATGAGAGAACTCATCTGCAGGCTTAGTATTTCAGCGTGGGGAGGGGGGGGCGGGATCAGAAAAACACACAGGACCACACTTGTCTCATGACAACTGGTGGAAACATTCTATGTATTTTCTTCCGTTTCGAAAGTGCATTTTCGAATTTATTTGTGTCTTGCTTCCTCCATAAATTTATATATTTGGAAATAAATAAATTTTTTTTATATCTTTCAATGCCCTTGTGATCATATATTCAGTAAATAGATAGACAGATACACCTTAATTCATGATTGTTGTTGTTATTGTAGTTAAGATCCTCACCATAGTTTTGTTTTAGAGAAGGATTGGGTAAATACATTTACATAAGGCTTTCAGGAGGGGGGGTGTCAGTTTTCTTAAAGTAGCATGGAGGCTGCAAGTTTCAAACAATACAGAACATTTTCTGATCCTCAGTAGTTACCGACAAGAAACTTGTCTTGAAGTGCCCACTTGCCTGGCTTTTACTTCTGCTGTGTGTTGAGGGAGGAGATGGGGAGGGGGATGACAGGTGTTTTTCAATGTTTATTTTCCTCAAGTGACCTGCTTGCCTGGCACTTAGTAGCACAAGTCTTGGGAATGGATGCTGGGAAAGTTCCTGGGTGTGGAACGCTCCTTCCACCTGGAACCAAGGCAGAGAAGCCCAGGAACCCTGTATCAGCGAAATAAAAATGCCTGAATGCAGAAAAGAGCAAGGCGCCAGCTGCAGTTTGGGTCGGCCGGACCGTCGGCCTCCGCCTGGTGCTTGCTCTTCTG